AATTTGCTTTATTTAAGTTTTTTATTTTATTTAATGGTAATTTACTCATTGTAATTACTTTAAATGATTATTTTATTTTTATTTATTTTTCAATCATCACACTTTTTGGCCTTGCTATATATTAGCTTTTTGTAATAATTTACCTACTATTTCCTTTTATTGTTTGATTGATTTATTTTATTTTCTCCCTTGCACTCCCGTATTGCCCCATCCGTATAAGCCCTTTTAACCTCGGTCCCGTATTATGGAATTCCGAATATTTGTTTTCCGTGATGATCCACATAGTACGATGTTACCGAACCTTCTTTGAGGAGGACACCCTTGACCTTGTATTTACTATTGGTGGCGTAGGCTGACTGAAATTTAAAACCTATTTTTGAAGTACTTTACAGTTATTTGGAAAGCTATATTTAAACTTCGAACTTCGTCCCTACTCATTTACTATATTTTTATATATGTGGATAGAAGGACTGAAGGCCCTATTTTTCTCTAAAAAATGGGAGCTCCCAGACTGGCGAACAAAAAAAACGCGAGTATGTATCGCAAAACTATGAAGTCTTGCAAACTCTGTTAAGGATATTATAACTGCGACTAAAATTTAAAAAAAAACTAATTTAAGTCATTAAAAAGCTGATAGGCTCTTTCTCTTCTTTCGCCTTTTCTATTCACTCTATTGACTGGCTAATTAAAAAACTGAAAAGGAATTAAATAAAGGATCATAAATGAAACGATTTTGCGTTTTTCACGAATCGCTCACCAACTCACCTTTCCAAAGTTCGACGACACTTTTAGTGACCTGTTGCAATTCGACATTACTAACAGCTTGTTGGCGTGCTTTCGCAGGCTTTATAACTCGCTGCTGAACACGGTCCCAAAATTCAAACTCGGTCTGTTGTAGAAAGTATTTCTGCAAACCCTCTAGTTTGGCTAGGAAAAGAAAACTTAACTTAGAAAACGCAGTGTTTATGGTGTAGCTAAAGGAGTATGATGTTGACAATCACTGAAAAAGCAGCAATCAAGGAGATTTGAGAGGATTTTGGGCGCAGACCGTTAAATGCTGGTACTTTCTAAAGAAAGGTTGGACATTTTAAACTAGCGGATGTCTCATTACTGAGCAGTTTATCATTTGCCAGGGCAAACAATTATCGTAAAGATGCAAGTTCCCCTTTTAATACCAAATTTTCAAAGCATTAATGACCATGTAATTGGGGTATTAGATGCAGTAAACAGTCAAAGGTAAGGGGTTTCGTGTTTACCAAATAAGCTTTCTCACATATGCGCTCCACATATATGACAAAAACCTTCTGAAGGTACAAATCTATTCACTTTGGAGGACTTAACAATCGTGCCCTAGGCGCAATTATTAACTGCGGAAGGACAAAGTGGGACCATATAAGATCAAGTCAGTGAATTTAATTGCCCTCTCCCCGGTCAACACCAAGCCTAAAGTTGATTATTTACAGTAGATTCACTATCTTGTAGCGACCTCTTATTCTAAGCCATACTTTGCTTACATGCCTGTGGGGCATGACCCGAGTGTCTAGCTTTCTTACCTACCGGTCCGTGCGCGCTAGACGCTTAAACCTCTGATTAAGGTCACGGATCTGTCTGGCCAACAGGCCAACCACCTCCCTAGGCGAAGTCACAAACGGACCA